TTTGAGCGGGATTTAAATGTTGAATGTAAATGTTTCTTCACTCACTTTCACACTATAATAAATAACTGCCTTTGCTTTGCTTTGCCTCACAAAGTGTGAGTGTGTGCCTCTCTGTGACAAGCTAAACATCATGGCACAGTCTAAATTGTATTCTCAAAAATACAGAAAGGAGTGGGAATCAAACCCTGAGTATAAAGGATGGTTGAAGCCATTTATTGGAGATGACACACGGGCATACTGCCTTTATTGTAAGGGGGATTTATATGCCAAACTGTCATGTTAAAACCCCAAAACATACTCAAAAGGCAAAGACATTTCTGATCTACTGTCGTCTGGATTTAACTCCGGTGGTTTCAAGTTTTGATCCTTGAAGGGTTGGGAACGTTTTTTGCCTACAGCCGCCATTACATGATATGCAAATTAGGCTATGACGTCGTTTAGCGACTTCTGGCGACTTTTCGGACAGCCAATAGCTACTATCCTTACTATGGAGTTGGCAAAACTGAATGTGAGTTGCGTTTATCTTTACCCATGGATAAGAACGGATCCATATCGTCTTACTGCCATCCCACGGAGCTGTAATAATGGATATATTGCACATGTTTGCTGTAATTCATTATCATACTACATGGGCTGTATGATTAAATATTGTACCGTAAATGTTGTATTAAATAAAGTTAATATTACCGACATTATTAACGTCCCTGTAGCTTCGTATTGCACTAAGAAGCTTATTGCACTGTATATAAATAGGCTATATATAAATATATATATATATATATATATATATATATACAGTGCAATAATTATTTCATGCTAAATGAAGCTCTGTTGGATATCACTAGATCCTGTTACAGCGTAATATAAGTACATAACGATTGATATTCACATTAGCATCATTACTAGCTAGCTGCTAACTGCCGCCTCGTTTATATCAAATCCATGATAACAACAATTCATTACCATGCTGTCATGAATGCGCGGTGCTGTTACGTGTACGCAAATTGACGTGCTTGATGTGAACGAGCATTTTGGTTAAAGTTGCGCATGCTCTATGAGTGCACATACGGATACTTCTCAGGCATGCTGGGTAATCTGTGACGTTTCACTCTCTCAAAAGTTGGGCCATTTTATCATCATGCGCTAATGAGCAGCTCTCATAGGAATGAATGAGGCCCCGCCTCCCACGCTGTATCCAGTTCTTCTTATGGTCGGAGTGGCCAAGGACGTGTTGTGCTCATGTTCTTCGAGCTGTGTGAAGAGGTGGCTTCACACTGTGGCTCGCCTGCTACGCGCGGCCTTAGCTCCGGCATCGAGACGGGGGACCTGGAAGAGTCGTCATCCGGACCAAGTTCACCCCAGAGTTTGGAGCATTCGCCACAGCCAGAGTCGAGCGAACCCAGCGGAAGTCTGCCAGCTGCTGTGGTTGTAAGGCATCACAGGGATCTGCTCCAGGTATGTTCATGATTTCAAGCTTAACGGACCTGCTATAATATACTATGATACAGAACCTTCCACAGAAACACTAAACATGTTTAAGCTTTGTAAAAGTAGAATGTATTGAGAGCTATTTCACAACATGCCAACATGTTATCTGGTGGCTATGGTCCTATTGTGTAATAATAACAACATTCTCTTGTTTATTCAAGGCACAGCTGAACGGCCACAGAAGTGACTGGCTGAAGAGGAAACTTCCTGCTGACCATGCAGTGCAGGAAGACCTCAAAATAAAAAAGAGGATGGTGGAGTTAATGGAGCAAACATCCATCCGCAACGCAGACGGCATGTAGCAGATGAATGCCACTATTCGGGATGGCTTTTCCCTGATGAGGGATTTAATTCATGCACACCCCCATAGTAGCAGCGGTGGACATGGACATTTCCATGAGCAATCATCACCATTCATGCAAAGAAGGCCACACCCGCCTACACCGACCTACACACCAAGAACAAACTCGGACACTTTTTCATACAGGCAGTCACTGTTTCAAGAGGACTGATAAAGCACTGAGCTTCACTTTTTTGTTGCACTTTATGTTAAAATAAAGGCTGGAAGTTGCCAATTTTATTTTTTATTCCACAGTTTGAATATTTTTTTGATAGCCAAGGTGTTTTATTCCCTTTGACTGTAAACATGTGTTCACCTTGTTCTTAATACAAAACCTTGCAAATAACAGTCTTGTCTTTCATGTACAGTATATTTTAAAATGACCATCTTGAACAGCTACAACATTAAAATACTTATAGGCAGATTGTGGAGGAGAATGAACAGAGGGGCAGAAACACCCATCTGAATAATGGCCACTTCTTGCAAAATGTGCTCTTCCATGTGATGCTTTTATCCGAGGCGACTCCAAATAGGTAAATGAACAGTGGTAGACAGTAGCGTGTACTTAAGGACAATCTTGAGGTACTTGAGACTAATCCTGCAACTTTATACCTCTGCTCCACAACAGTTCGAGAATGAAGAAACCATCACGTATGAAAGGCTACATGTGAATAGAGGGGCAGAAAACCGTCTTGCAAATTTACATTTCAATCTTGAACAATGAACAGCGGTGGACAGTAACAGTAAGTACATTTCCTTAAGTACTGTACTGCTCCACTCCCATTCAGGCAAATAGTGTACTTTATACTACGCTACATTTATTTGATAACTTTAGTAATTTTGAAGATTCAGAATACTACAAAATATAATCTTATTATAGGTTAAGATCAAATGCTATTGATCCCATGGTGAATTTCACAAGCTACCCAGCAGTATATAATGTAATTTAAATTAGCTCCTCCTTTACCAGCTGCAACATTAAGGTGATGAGCACATTAATCCATCAATAATATAGATACATAATTAAGACTAAATAGACCACATTTCTGACAAGTAACCCCCCCTAGTGTCAAATATCTGAAGTGACATATATGTCACATTGGGCTTTAATGGTAAAATAACTCTTATAACTTCATTAATGAGGATGATTTGTTTGGTTTAAATTAGTTTGAACATTCTTTGAAGAATAAAGAATATTAACTAAATATAATTGAATCAGCTAAATTAACTGAGCCGATCATAATCATATTTCTAATTGTGCATATGTCACTTTGGGTTTACTGTGAATGTTTACGTCCGATGTTTGTCTCATTTGTTTCATATCAATTTGACCAAGAAATGTTATTATATTGTTATGGGAACACAAAATCACATGACCTGGACCATGACCCACCAGACTGGGACTTCATGAGATAAAATAAAGGCTAAAGCTGTATAAGTAACTTTCCAGAACATTAAAGTTCATGTGACACCCGTGTACCGTTGGGTCCTTATGGGAAAGTATAAATATATATATATATATATACGAGAGAGTCTCTGGACATTAGGAAGTTCTCCCTCCATTCATTATCCACGACACCGCCATTGACAAAATTGTCCCACCAACTGCTGGTTCTGCCCGGTCTTACCCAGGTTGCCCTTCTGGTTGTTCCCCGTGGTAGTCTTGGCAACATGTAGGTCATGTTCTCCATGTCCACTTGTTGCTGATGGAGGCGCTGTAGATGTTGCACTAATATCTGTAGCATGGCCAGTAGCGTCTGGAGCACGAAAGCAACCCTGTGATCCGCCATTGTTGTTGGCGAAATAGAGCATTTCGTTCGCAGATCTACCAACATTGGGACCCGTTATCGTTTTCTGCGTTTCCATGTCGGCCGTTATCGCTAGAAAGTCAATGGGTTGTACTTTTCATATTTGATAGCACTCTTATAAGAAAAACAACTACCGCAACAAGGAAAAGCAAAATAATGTACATTCATGGAATTAACCATTTAAAACTTTTGAGTGATTTAATACGCATGTGTAAGTAAAGGATGCATGTTTGGCAAAGCATTGTTGTCAATAAATGTTCATTCACAATTAGAATATTAATAATGCATCACTAATTAACTCATGACAATCACATTGGTATTGATTTCAATGAATGTGGCCCTACTTGGCATTGTATCTAATGCATTGGTGGTTGTAAATTAAACAAATATGGAAAAAGATAAAGGAAATGATAAAGGAAGGAGTAAATATGGAGCAGATAGAGAAATCAGTTGGAGGAGAAAAAGTGAGGAGAGGGAAGAACACAGTGGGAAGTGGGAGTGAAGACAGTCTGATCCACAGTTTAGATCAAGGAGGGATGACCGGTCCAAGGCCAAACTCCACGCTGCCTACTTTAAACAGTTTACATTGGGCATCACAAAAACACACACACGTTGACTTCCTCCATAGCACTTGCACACGCACACACGCTGGGAAGCAGACACATTCACAAAAGTATACAATGTTCTCAGGAAGAAACACAAACACTCACTTTAAAAATGACTCACATATGGCCAACCTGCTTCATTCACCCCTCTGGTACCTCTGGTTGGGAGCGTTAATACTGCAGCATCTACAATCTGTGGGTGGGGGGCTGTTATGAAACATGTGTTAGGAGAGGCTTGTTATTCAATAAACTGAGAGAAAGACGCATATAAAGCAGGAATAACTTTTAGGGTCTGGCCCTCTCTGTGTTTCCAGTTGTAATATTTACATTTTCCATACAATTAAACAGTTTTCTTAATTACATAAAATAAAGATAAATTGTTTGTATTATCATAAATGTGTTATGATTATTTGGTCTGTTCAAAATTGTGATAAATGGTGTCACAATAAAAATGGTTGATATTCTTTGGCATGAAAATGTAAAATTTTCAATATTTCTTCCAATGATTTTGATTTGATTTGATTTTAGTTTCTATGAGGTGTGGCAAATCGCTTGAGTTGAGCATAGCAACTGATGTATGGGCATTTGCTATCCCAAGATGATGCATTTTGTAATTAATTATCCGAAGTAATACAGCACATTTACATTTATTCATCTTCATCCAGCTGTTTTTCTATGTAGAGGGGTTTTGGTCAAGCTTGTCAGCATTGAGGATGCATGTATATAAATAAATATGGTATTTTCCAGTTTGCAAATGTCTTAAACTATTACTTTTATTTGCAAGCAATACATTTAAACATCATACTTTATAAACCTGCATCATTATGTAATTTAACAAATATCCAAAACGTGACTTCATACAGAATATTTCAAATTAAAAAAATGTCATTCATCTGAAAAGCATTTCAAGAAAACAAAAACAGCTTTGAGTAATCCACATGACAAACAATACTGATGACACAACAGATGTTTGTAATTCAGTCCTAAAATACGAAATCATTTAACTCTAATTTAAAACAGTTGAAATGACACCAGAGATCAAAGTTACATCTAAAAGAGAGAGTTTTCTATCTTTGTAGGAAACAATGAAAGATTTACTCTTTCATTACGAGGTTATTTTTAAACATTGGGGAGGTCATTCATCACTTACATAAGAAACTATTTTAAGGCACAGTAATACATTAAGTTAATGAGTATTTCGCAAAATTAACAAATCTCTTTATAACTTGTGGGCTGATGATGACGCACGTTTGAAGAATTCATTAATGAACTTCAGACTATTTTTACCAATGCTGCTGAAATGTACTCGTTAGGTCAAACTCTGTGTGTCAAACAAAGTAAAATGAACACAAAAAACAGACAAAGATCGAAACAACAATGAAAATGCCCAAAAATGGAATAGCAACTTTTCTATAAAAAACAATCAACAGCAATGGTTTAAAGTGATTGTGTGCCACTATGGAATTCGCTATACAGTAGGTGACAAAAACAACAAAGGTGTTTCAAACGTAGTTACTATGAAGCGTTACCTGTCCTCTTTCTTAACCTAATGTTAAGTCAGAACATTTGTAACAGTTGAAACATAAAGAGGGAGAAAAAAAACAAGCAGTCATGCAATAAATGAAGCATAATGTTTGAGTGGTTAAAAGGGTTATGGCTATATCTGCGTGATATAGTGGCTATTGTAGTAACAAGTATTCAAAATGTCAGGCTCTGGGCTTCAGTGAAGTACGTGAAGTACATTTTTCCCATCGCGCAACTACATACACAGTCAATGCAAAGCTAATTAAATTAGCATATCTGAATTGCTGTACACTGTTTCAAAAGAAAAAATTGAATATAAACGTCTAAATTAATAAAAACCTCTCTGGCGCGTCTGGCCCAGGTAACACAAAAAAACACATGATGATGCGAACAAACCCGCAGGGAAAACATTTGCTGAACGTTAGTGTCTGGTCTGTTCATTTAACATAGATAAGAATAAGACCTGGTAATGGATGTATGCTGGTGAATGGTCGGCATTGAAACACCTTTGACATCCCTTAAAAACAATTCAAGAGTCATTATCGTAGTGTCCGCGGTTCAAATTAGAGTCCTATCCTCTTTCTCCGTTTCCTGTCTTTAAAAAAAAGGAAAACAAAAAAACACTCCAACCACTAACACACTCAAATAAGGAAGTAAATGTGCAAATTACCAAAAATGAGAGCTGTTTATAGTATACAAACCATAGCAGTGGCAGTTTGGGTCTACTGAAAACCGTGCAAGGAAAATGAATCAAATCACTTTACTGTTTGAGTACTCTTTGTATGCTTGGGCTCAGTGCCAATGTTCCTTTAACATGTGTTTTTAGGCACCATCTTTACATGAGTCAACGGGCCTGGGGACAGAATTTTTTTTTGTTGAAAAGTCCACATGTTAGCAGTCAGGCTCCGTGTCAGCATTATTGCTTTGTGTGCCTTGATGCATGCGCTCCAGTATCCGGTGTATACTGCTGAAGCTGGGCCTATCTGACGGGTGTGTGCTCCAACTGAGCCTCATCAGATTGTACAGCTCCAGAGGACAGTTCTCAGGACAGCCGAGAATGTGACCATCCCTCACGTAATAGATGACCTCCTCATGACCCATACCGTAGTAAGGTTGCATCCCATTGGAGAAGATCTCCCATAGCACCACCCCATAGGCCCACACGTCCGATTCAGTGGTGTAGCGGTTATAGAAAATAGACTCTGGGGGCATCCAGCGAATCGGGATGGCGTCATTCTCGTTGGCTTTGTAGTAATCGGCCGAGTAGATGTTTCTGGACAGGCCAAAGTCGGCGATCTTCACCACCATGTCCTCCCCAACCAGGCAGTTCCGGGTTGCGAGGTCACGATGCACGAACTTGCGCTCCGACAGGTAGGCCATTCCTGCGGCGATCTCCGTGGATATCAACAGCTGCTCATCACAGGTGAGAAGTACCGCCTCCAGCTCAGAGGAGAAGCTGCGTCCCGATAGGCTGGCGCGGCTCAGGGTGCGCACCGATTGGGTTGGAGATCGGCGACGCAGGAACTCATTGAGGTCGCCATGGGCCATGTATTCAAACATCAGACACATGGGTTTACCCACTGCACAAACACCTGGGGAGAGAGCATGGATCATGATATAAAATCATCTAAGGTTTGAATACAAACACAAGTACTCAACCACATCTGTGACATCATTAAACCACGCTGAATCTAAAGTGTGTTTACCTTCCACGGTATCATACAGTAAGTTCATTCTCTGTGAAAATAAATATTCAGACTAAACACAGACGACTGTGATGCGCACAAATAAACTCTCATGCATAGAGGATGTACAGTCTTACATAAATAGTCCAGTCATGTAAACACAGTGTGTTTTTAAATTAACCTTATGTTCTTCTGGACCTGTCTGTGCTGTGGGGAACGACGGGCAATTAAAAGAGGATTTCAAAAATTGGGAGTGTCCTGGAGTGGCAGCAGTTCCTGACAATCCCAGAGTGAGTACTATGATACAAAGAACTTAATGGATGTTTTTTAACTTGTTTGCACTCGATGTTGAAAAATGTTTTATTGTTTCATCATTCCTGAATGAATTTCCATCAAGTATGGTGGACATAAATGAAGGCGTAATGGCACATCGGAGAATATTCTAGCATAGCACGTCCAAATTCATTCTATTTATTTACTACTTGTTTACTTTAACTCCATAAAAGAGTTGCTGTCTACCTGTTTATTTATGCATTCCTGTTTATGCTTACAGGGCTTTAAGGAATTCGTGCACACACAGTTAAGGCTGTGCAGAGCGCCAACAGCCCTGCAGAAGTTGTAGATGTGCCATTTAATGTGACTTGGCATTCATCACATTGTGAGTACTTTATGGCTATGTAGGACATTTCATAACAAACTACCAGGTTTGCAGACAAGAAAATAGATCTGGACAAAAAAGAACATGTGCATTCACATAGTACAGTCTGGTTTACAGTGATACAATTGGCCAATTTATTGTTGTATTCGATTTTTTTATTGTTGTTTGAGTCTCTTTTTGGTCATTTTGTGGCTCTTTGTATTTTATTTCTGTTACTACTAAATGTTTGGTCCGTCATTGTTTTTCCCCTTTTCTCCAGGCGTTTAAAGTCTCTTTGTACTTTTTTTTATGACTGTTTTTATTCTTTCTATGTCCCTTTGCAGTCATGTGATAGTCATATTCTTTCTCTGGAGATATTTTGTGTCTTTTTGTTGTCATTTTGTAGTCATTCAAATTCTCTTTGTGGTCTCCTTGTAGTGTTTTTGTGTTGCTTTGGGGACATTTTGAGTCTCTATAGTCACATTGTTGTATATCCTTTTTAAATTGTTTTACCGTAAATCTTGTTGTCTCTTTGCAGCTGTTTTGCATGTGTTTTGTTAGATCATTCAATAATCCTTCCCTTTTAGGATCTAGGTGATTTTCTTTCTAACTATAATACTTTGTCCTCTAACAGATATGTCAGAACACAAACAACAATATGCTCGCAGTGAACCTTTGGGAGAAGAGGAGGCTTGGGGGTCATGCTCAGTTAGTTCAAGTCCTATGGGTCACAGAGCGGGGACAGTTCCCCAGAGAACCAGCTCTGATTTCTGCTCCCTTGTGTGTGTGTGTGTGTGTGTGTGTGTGTGTGTGTGTGTGTGTGTGTGTGTGTGTGTGTGTGTGTGTGTGTGTGTGTGTGTGTGTGTGTGTGTGTGTGTGTGTGTGTGTGTGTGTGTGTGTGTGTGTGTGTGTGTGTGTGTGTGTGTGTGTGTGTGTGTGTGCACACACAAAGGACTGCAAAGCAACAGTAGCAGCCTCAGCTGAAGGTCAGTAGCTTGCTCAAAATGCTTTTCTCCATCGCTAAATATACAGAACACAGAGGACCCGTCCTGCACATGCGACAACATATGACAAGCAGACATCTCTAATTCTGACACAAGCATGTTATGGATGATATATTTTGCACATCATTTGCGGTATATTATTAGTCCAGGGGGTAATTAGAGGTTAATTTGATCAACTCTGGTTTCATGTGCAGCAGAGAGTTCGGCACTCTCAAAACAGAACACACAAGATACCATCGTTTGATATAATCTAGAAAGAAAAAGCTTTTCCTTAACAATTTAAAAAAAAGATTTGACCATCACTGGAGCCACTACTAGATGGACCAAAGTCAACAAACCTCTTTCAGCACAGTGGTTGATCTAGTATGGCCCTGTTTACTCAGTGTAAGATAGAGTGAGTTGTATCTCTAAATGTCTTCCTGGAAGTATATTTAGATGAGAGCAGTTTGTATTAGATTAGATATACTGTATTAGTGCTGATAAGCTTTAATAGAGGACGTTTGTTTCATTCTGGCCAAGAAAGGCACATTAACTGTCGAGCAGCTCTTGTTTACTGGCATACAGTCATATCCTTATCTCTAGCAGGTTGTATAGCAATACACTGAAACAGATCTGAGGACAAAGACTTCATTCAGAAGAATTACAGTGAGTGATTGAATAATCTTAAGGGGAAAAAAATGGGTATTGAGTATTACTCCACTTTATATTTTGCGGTAGGAGTCAGTTTAATCTTTGGTACTTCTGTTTTCGCCAAATTCATTTAAACAGAATGTCTCCTGAGTTGAATGCAGGTTATTCAGAACACCTGTTGGTTGCTAATTCAGAATTGAGAGCAACTGGGTGCATTCCTCTCAGCCAATCAGAGTGTGACTCTGCCCTTTCTATAGGTTTTAAGAGGGGTGGAGAACTGCACACCTAAGGCACTCTGATTCTTCTTCAATGAATTCAAGACCTAATTTTTGCAGATTCTGTCAGCTACAAACTCTGCCCTCTTGGCCTTTGAAGTCTACTTTTCTTCTCTTTACTTCTGAAACCTAGCTGGAGTGGACATAAAACACTTTTCTCCAATGTTACATGTTTCGAGGCAGATTTTTGTTTTGTTGTCCAATCTCTTCCGTACAATAACTTAACCCGTGTAGACTATATTTGGTTTATTGGTTTATTCTTATCGAGACTCCCTTCTAAGGCATTTTATTAAAAAAATTCACAAGGGAGGATGTGGAAAATAGGTAAACAAGCTAACATCACCTTTTTAACTGCGTACACATTACCTTTTTTCAAGAGTTTATTCTTCTACTGGTAATAAGCATTATAATATCATTTTCTGTCATTTTGAAGATGATGCTTCACAATAAAAACATTTTACACATAAGACTAGTACACTGGTTTAACATTGAACTCCTACAACATTGTGGTACTTAAAATGGATTTATCTGAACCAGGGAAGCCTATTTTTAATGTAATTTTGTTTTGCACTTTCCACACACTGGTACAACGACCAGCTGTGAGACTTACCTAGGAGTCGAACGATGTTGGGATGGTCGAACTGAGCCATCAGCGCTGCCTCTCGCTGGAAATCATTCTGCATGTCAACTGAGGCTTCCTCCTTCAGCATCTTCACGGCCACCATTGTGAACGACTCCATTGGCAGCAGGCCTGGTGCTCTGCAACAAACACACCAAAATAATCAGACACAATGCTCATAAACAGTCCTCTGTTTTTGTGTACAGTATAGTATGTGTGTATATATGGATATGTCTGTGTAAAAAAGACATTGTTCGGCAAAAAACAAGCATTCTAGCATAACGCCGCAACTGCATATGTCAGGCACTGTAGATGTCAATCACTTGGAGGGAACACATGCACACACACACACTTCCTGTGTTGGCTCACTAGAGGGGCAAACTAAAGTCAACACGTTGTTTCTCAGTGTGGATTTATATATAGTTTTCACACACACACACACACACACACACACACACACCAGCGCACATTGGGAACACACAGATTGAAGCCCATCTGTCAGGGAAGTTATTTAATCCTCTGGTATATTGTTGCATGTATGTGTGTGTGTTCATGTATGCATGAATATACACCACCAAATGCATGTGCTGCCTGTGTGTTTCTAGGATTGTTAATCTATACTCATTGAGTGCATATGCAGAATATAGTTTGTATTTGCACATTCATTGCCTGTTTTTGGTCAGGCATGCAGGTATGAGTGTAGTGTATATGTGTGTGTTTGTGCTCTTTGACTTGTCTTAGTGAGTGTGTATTATGTTCTCAGGGGTGTCCATATATTACACCATTCCAGTTTTCATTAAGGGATTACCAGCAAGCCTGAAGGACGTCTCCCAGATCTGCATGGCTACATTCTGGTGCTACTGTGGAAATGCCATCAACTAGTAGAATACTGTGCTAACTGTATTATTATTAACCCCAATTAATATGCTGTGCTCCAAATATGTGTGTATCCAACCCATAATGTGGATGCACTCCTTATTTAATGGATATTTCCTAGGCAAATGTAACACCCTTCCACCAAGTTTCATGACAATCAAGCCAGTAGTTATTCCATGATTCTGCTATCCTTCTTATTATCTTCAAAAAGAGACCATAACATATTTAAGAGATATTGCACCTCCTCCATCTTTTTGAGGGTTGACCCTCACTCTTTAAGAAGGACATCTAAAGACACCAACACCAAGCCTAAAATATAGATGTGGGTGTGCATATTGTTGATTTATGACATTTTAAAATGTTGACTACTGTATGACTCAGGTCTGGTATTTAGTCTGATCATAGGGATTAGTTGGACACATTTGCGCTTGCTGTGAACAGAGTCACTGTGGAGTAAACTTGACACCTGTAGCAGCTCTCCTTGTGACTTTGTAGGTGACGCAGCAGTTCTCAGAAAGAGAAGTGGCCCTGATAAGACACTCTTACCAACTCACTCTATCCAAATCCTGTCTGACCCTTTCTCTTCCTGTGCCTGAGAGATATCCACTACATCATGTAAGCCCACTGGCATGACATGGTAAAAGAAAATGTGTCTATCTAATGTTTATTGCACTTTTTCAGAGTGGAAGGCTCTTCAAACTCTTCTTCTCCTCATCAATATTTAACTCTGATGCTTTTTCTCTCCTTTGAATTTCCAATTGAATCGCTATATAGGCAACATCTGTTTCCCCATTGCCTCCTCCCCCCTCACCTGGCCTGGAAAACCCGTCCGAAGGCTCCTTCTCCAATATCTCTGACATATTGAATGTTATTTCGAGGATACTCAAGGGCCAGAAGCTTTGAGTTCAGCAGTAGGGGAACTCGCTGGTACATGGGGTTGGGGTGTAGTCGATCGAGCAGGAGCTCTGATGGAAGAGCGGTCAAGGTCGGGGTCTCAATCGCTCTGTTGAAAGAAAGTGGGAGTGAGAAATACAAAAACAAAGGCTCAAGGTTGAATTTAGGATTGTGCTTTTTTCAATGCTTTCTATTGTTTAAGTTATCAACAAAAACAACAAAAACAGTATTGGGTAGTATTGAACTTTTTTACCCAGCTGAATGCTTCTGTTCACAGGATGGGTTTCAAATGTTCTCTCTCATTAAGGGTACTGGCTGGTATCATCATTTCTTCAAAGGAATTTCATCATACCTCATGTATCGCATTTATCTCACCTCTTCCGGTTTCTCCACTGCTTCCTCTGTCTGCGGCAGGCGAGGATGCCGATGATGAGGAAGACTGCAGCGGCAAGTGCAGTCAGAAGGATGACAATGACGGACATGGAGTAAGCCGGGGAAGACACCGTTGCCGTGGGAGGGAGACGAGGAGTCTGACGAGGGGATTGTGTCTCTGGAGTCAACACTAAGAAACATTTAAAGAAAATGTAAAGACCAGGTGCTGTATGACTTTTCTACTGAACTGAAACAATATCTTGATTAACAAAAACATTGCCATTTGTTGGTGGGCTGTTTGGCAGCAGCTAATTGGGAAGATCCTATACGTTCTCTTTGACTGGTGGGTTTTTTGTCGAAAAAGGGCGGCAGAAGACTGTACCTGATGCTATGACTGTCTCCCCACAATGCGGCACAGCGCAGTACTCCCAGCGTATGTTGTGATTTGAGGTGTAACACCAGGGCTTGTCGCTGATTCCTCCAGGGTTCCTGCAGTAGTTATGTGAGCTCTTCAACTCTGGAATCACATCCACAGAAAGGCGATGCTGATGGGGAACCTTCAGGAAGATAGAGAGTAAAGAATTGAGAAAATCACAGCGCAATCATTTAGTGAATTTAATTTATTAAGAGCTTTGTTGACCTTTTTTAACAAAAAAGCAAAGGGAATAAGCAGTACATGGAACAAGGGAAACAAGGACCCTTTCACTTCATGTTGTTTAAGAAGTTTACTATTGCTTTCTTTCTACTTCCCAGTGATAAAGTAAGAACATCTGCGATCCAGCCTGTGCCTCCAGAGAAACCACTCTTGTCTTGAGGTTTGAGTCTTATCAGTAAATTTATAGCTGTATGTTTTTCCGAGTAGAGCTATTGAAGGAAGATTTTCCATGGATTGAGTTTTTTCTTTTCCAAGAAATGTCTGACTCCAGACTGACTTAAAAAACGGATATGGCAAATCAAATTTGAATAATTTTAATACACACCTCAAGGCCCTGTTTAAGGTCTACGAGAGGTAACAGTTGAATGACTGCAGAGGGTTTCAAATGTTCTAGAGTAAGGGACATTAGAGTTTGCGCGTTTGTTTCTGGAATATTAAAGTGCCAACTCAAATACAAAACATCTGGTGTTGTTGTGTGTTATGAGCTTTAGTCATCAAAAGAGCAGTGGTCCAACCTGTTCCTTGGGGTATGAAGATATGTGCTTAAACTGCTAGATTCAACACATGTGCTGCTGTACAGTAGATATATATGTAAAGCAAACTTCCCACACGGTACGCTTCCTGCCTGTGCCTGGAATGTCCTCTAAGCAAAATGACAGGGCAAGTCATCTGTCACGGCCTTAAGAAACAATCCATATCCCTCTATGGTATGATGTTGCCTCCAGGCAACATACCCATTTTTTGCCTTTTACATTCACACAATACATCTCAAATTATGATGCAATACCATAAGGAACCAATAGTAGTGTTTGAATTTGTCCCATGACTCTCTGGTGGCCAATTTGAAGACCCTGTTTGCCGCCTTTCCCACAAGGATCAGCTCAGCCATTTCTCTCCAAGAAATGTGTCTAAAAACGTCATTTCCTGCGCATTTCTTGTCTGGAAAAAAATGTATTCACAATAATAGGTGAATAAACCTTCTTTTCTAATAGTTTAATATACATAATTTGCTAATTAGGTAATGGAAACTTGTTAAAATGCAAATGTTGCCTGGAGGCAACATCGTACCATTATGGTCAATTGTAAATGTTGCCTTGAGGCAACACCGTACCATTATGGATTCACCATGATATTGGGGTATTGTGTGTTTAGGTATAAACTGTTCAAAAGCATACCATTCATCATAGATCTCTACAATCTAACCAAGATACATTTGATGTTAAAGCCAACCCAATGATCTGTGCAAAGATGGGATAAGAAAAAGAAAGAAACATTGCAGGTTACCTGCCCAAGTGTCGTGCATGCATACAATAAAAGTATGGGAGGAGTGGATCTTCTAGACTCGCTGATTGCTCTCTACAGAACAAAGATCAGGTCAAGAAAGTGCATCCCCAAGAAAGAAATGTACACAGGTCTACCAACCTGCTGAAATTCAAAGCTGAAGTTGCAAGTTGTCTTTGCAACGAGAGGAAAGTCTTGAAAAAGAGGGGGAGACCATCTCATAATATTGACAGAGACCTGGCTGAGAAGAAGCACAGAGGTTCTTCCTCATCAGTGCCATCAACACATGTGCATCAAGACCACACTGACCATTGGCCTGTGTGGGTGGAGAAAAAGGGCCGGTGCAAATACCCTGGCTGTAAGGGTGAAAGTGCAGTGATCAAAGTGTGTCACGTACCTGTGCTTCACTGCTGACAATAACTGCTTCATGAACTTCCACAAGCAGTGTGTCTATTTTGTCAAATGGCTCAATAAAGTTTGATGAAAGATGCCTAGGCTCTTTGCGTATTTATTCCTAAAGGTTGTTTCACAATGGTAGTACAATGTGCCTGCAGGCCACTTTCAGACATGTAATCTTGTTAAAATATAAAAAATAAAGATTTTCACATTTGAATTGGTATGCAATTTAACCTGTTGAGGCTATTTAGTATTTTGCATGTGTTTTTAAATACATTTTGTTCAAATTTGAAACAATAACTCGTACCCCAAAAACTACCCCCAAATAATTATTTATTTAAAATGTCTTTAGATTATGTTTATTTGGTCTATTATATGACAAAAAAACACTCCAAAATTGTTTTTCCCAAATGGCATCATAGTGCGTACCATAGAGGTAAGCATTTCCTGATCTGTAAATTGGTCAGTAGGATTACATCGTTCGCCATAGCGTCAATAACGACTTAAGTAACTAAAACGACTTGGTGTAGGTTGAAGAGAAACTGTTGACATTATTAAAAGAAGAATGAATGAACTGTTTGTAGGAGATGGGATCTGGACAGCAGGCTTCCCTTTCCATTCATCCACCAACTTTCAAGTCGCTACGTGGCACTTTAGCAATCACACTACCTGATCGCTCAATAGGGAGTCATTATTCTAACAACCATAAGTGGTCATTTAAAAAGAAGAACAACGTTATATCTCACGCTTCCCTCCCAACAAAGAGAGGTTGAAACTTGAAGAAAACAAAAATGTAGTCATCTTGTATCATGCCTACTTTAACATATGCGTTATGAAATTAATCTGCATATATGCTCCAGTTCAAAACGAGACATCATTTTTAATCAACATTTTCCTGCAGACTTTCCCAATGCCTTAGCAAAAATAAGGAAACTACTCATTGTGCCACATGTAAACTACAGCCTACACATGTGTTGAGTATGTGCTCGACATAATGTGATTTTACTATGGAGGATATCATATGACGTGTGGAACGTTAGAGTTTTGGGTTCATTTCCTGCAAGACTCATGTGCGCAGAATATTTTATATTCACTATCAAAAATATTTGCTTAGAAAGATCTGCTCTGTGATGCGTAAAAAGTAAATGATGACTTTGGACGGAGCCATCGTTGGATAATGTTGCTTTTAGAAAATAAACGACACTGACCGTACAAATATTAGGAACAGCTGCTTCTCCTGTGACTCTAATGGACCACATACAGTACAGGCATGTGAAAGCTAACCTCCAAATTCAAATATAAATCCACTTTTATATCAATATGGAGCATCATGGATCAGAGATTATTCATGTAAAAATAAATGTTTTAAATAACGTTGTAAGTTGAAAGTTGGAGCAATTCCTTTGAACGTTTTTTATTTTGATTATACGCTGCATTTATCCTGTGTTTGGAAATGTACAAAGACTTAGGTTCACACCAGAGCCAGCAAAAGATAAATGAGATAATAACCCATTAACTACAACAGGATGTTTTGAAGCTCCCTATTTTCCCCTGACAATGCTACATAGTAAATACAAAGGACAGCTAGCATAGATGCGAGTATAAGTCTGCACACATCTACCTTTTCTTCACATTTGAAGTTAAAGTTAATTATAATTTCTGAATATATTTGTGGATATTAACTTCATTTGGGCATGTGGGAATTAGAGTACAGTATAAAATAGAAATCACTAGGCTACTGTGTCTTTACTTTAGGTGTTAAGAAGTACTTAATGAACTCCTAGTCTTAGTCTGTCCCATTTTCACAAAAAAAGAATGTTGATTTTAACTGTATGGGTCTAACATATAGATCATTTAAGCTTGAGGTAAACAAATAAATAAAAATGGTGCAATCAGCTTCTCGTTTCCTTCTAGAACTGTTCTGCCAGACATTATCCCATTCATGCTATTATTATACTTGCAACAGGAAATGAAAGCTTTGATGCTGGCCAGGAAGTTAAGCATAATCATGAAAATAATCCGATCATGTTTAAAAGCCTACCCTTTTAATTTCAATTTGGCCACCCACCACACCATATCATATCACAAAATTCCGGCATTTTCCTGGAAGCAACACATGCTACATGCTTGCTGATCTCACTCTATCAGAAAGGTTAAATCCTGACTTTAGCGTAAACCATAAGTGTTCCAATCTTTTTATCCACATTGCTCTATCAAAGGACACTTTTATAAACAATGTAGGATCTGTAACAGTCCATTTTGTCCAGTAAAATGTTGTCAGCTAGCTAGCTACTAAATTAAGCTAACGTTAGCTAACAGGTCTTTGGCTGACTTTTCAATCTGGCTTGTTTGAAATGGAGACTCCTTTCAACACTACACAGTAAATATTAGAGTCATGAATGGGACTTTTTACTAAAGGATAAGGATAATGCAGAATGAAAAATGTATTCAAAATAGTTTAGTACAATGGCATTTAGGAATCATATACTCGTATTCAGGGTCGGCGTCATGGGGGGTCATTCGCGGGCCATGCCCCCCCAAATGAGTCACTGTGCCCCCCCAACGCAGGGTGGGCAAGCCTTATTGCCGCTTTGCCGTTTTTTTTTTTAATCATATAAGTTCAAACGTTTCCACCAAAAGTTTTTTGTGTGAAATACATCAGAAATAAAGAATACACATTTGTATTCTTTATTTATTCTTTATATGAAACACAGCCTGAGGTGTGCTCACTGCTGCTCTCTGATTGGTGTGTTGCTTGACCAATGACCCCGACTTTTGTTTTGTTATCATTACGTGGCTGTGTGTTTAGATGAAAGCCCAGTGGCGATCTGTCCATCTGTTATACTGATTATACAGTAAAGCCATCGAAAATAATATGATATACAGTACAGTACAAGTACATGGGTCTCTGTGTTTCATTCAAGCTCGGCTCTCTGTGTGTGGCACGAGCGCATTTTGTCAGTGCGCGAGCGGTAACGTGGAATATTGTTGTTAGCATCTGGTTAGCTAGCTATGCTAACGGATATAAAGAGCTGTTTCTACACCAAGGTGGAGGAGAGTCCTCTCCTGTCAGACTGAGAGGATCTTATAACGTCAGCTCAGTGAGGTAAGGACTCTCTCAGCGTTTAGATAGTTCACTTTAGTGTAAGTTATCTCAGTGGGTCTCAAACGGTTTGGTGACCATTTATGTAAACAAGTATTTGCGAGGAATAGGCTACCTTTATATGATCATTATAGTTAGCCTATTAAAGAATAAGAGAATAAATAAAAAACGGGTATGAAATACTATAGGACAATAACACAAGAATACCATTTAAAAGGGGAGTGATTAGTAAAATATCCATAAAGAAAAAGTAAATCTGTTTACAGTTCTGTTTCATATGGATGTTGAGAGATGTATCCATAGATCTCTTCATTTTGCTCTCAAAGTGCACCAGATTGATGCTTTTAACTTCAATATTTAAAAAATAATCTTCCCGGGGGATCATGCCTCCAGACCCTCCTAGAGGAGGTTAGGTCCACCACCCACCTAAAACATGTTCACATGGATAGGATACTACATACATTTGCACACTTTTCATATGGTGGCCTATGTCCATATGTTTCTGTTTTGGTGATCGTGCCACAACCGTGCATGCACAGGTCATAGGTACGCTATAAAATAGCACTACACCCCTGCAATGTGTGTGAGAGACAATAGCTTTACAGCATGTTTTTTTAAATTGAAGTTGCGTTGGTATTTGTGTGTTGGTTGTTGACGGCAGTGTGTGCCCCCCCTTGGTAAATGATTGCCCCCCCCATTTGATTTGTTCTAGAGCCGACCCTGCTCGTATTATTCAGCATCCTGTGTTCCAATGTGGACATGGTTTGATGTGTGTAAAAAAAAACATATTTAAATGTGTCCGTGAACTAAAAGTGTACCCAAAAAACATTTGAAGTAAAAGAAAGGAGAAAGAGAGAATATGTTTATAATTATGAATCGCATTAGCGAGCAAACCTTCACAATGTCACACATATGTCTGTGTGTGTGAGCAGTGTAACATGTCAGAGTGTGTGTGTGGTAGTGATGGAGTCTGTGCAGCATATGCGTGTGAAAGCTAATTGCTTCCAGAGGCAGGATGTGACATGATGAGCCCCTCCCTCTCTGCTGACCTGGCAAAAACACACACACACACACTGCACAGGAGAGTAGTAACAGCTCACCCTCACAGACTCTCTCACTGAGCAAAGCCGTAAAAACATAAAGAGGCTTTTGGGCCAAGGGGATGTGTGTGTGTGCTTGTGTTTGCACTTTTGTATGTTTTTCTGTTTCTGGTTAGAGGGCAGGAATGTTTGATTTAAAACTGAACATCCACACACAAAACATGAGTCACACTTTAGTTGGACTCCTGGATTTAAAAAATACAGGTATTAGTTTGATAGAGGGCCTTGTTATGAACGAATGTTATCAACTCTGTTTTGTACAGTATCTGCATCGCATGTTGAAGTTCTACGCATTTTATAGTAATGCATTCACACACACACACCACATTACCTGTTGGCTCCATGACTGACACGGTATCCCAGACCTTGTCGCATTCACGCTGCCTTGGTAGAAACGCCCTCTGTCATTGTAGCATGTTGCTGTGGAACAGGAAAACAGATATGGGATTAATATGATTTAACAGTAACCGTTTAGTAAATTATTAATTAAATTAAACAAATATATTTGTTTCTAGACTTACTTGTAACTTGATCTTTCTTGATGTCTGAAATGTAGAAACGATTAAAAGTAAAGTTGAATAAAAAATATATCATGGAGAAATCAGTCATCACTGAAGGTCAATTCAGTACATTTCATATTGTATTACAGAGCAAACATACACATACTACGCCTACTATAAAGCCTACACCCCACACATACTAGCCTGCAGTTGTATATATTGGCTCAGTTGCTCAGACCCTCTTAATGACCTCATAAGTATCAGTGACCTGCAGTTAAGCAGGCCCAGCTTTATTTGGCTGTAAGCAAATGCAACTAGCCAACTCCTGCTTTTCCTTTTCACAACGCTTAATTTCCTTTAGGATTGAATGCTGAATTTTCTGCGCTCAAGCTGTTACTGCAGTACAGGTTCAACATATCTTATATCTGGCTGAGTCTAGCAGAACAATTAAAAGAATGATCGTAAGATGAGGTAAAGTTTTGATCTTGAATTCAGCGTGTTAATTACCATCTTCCACGGCTTCCTTCTTTTATACATTATTCTGTATGCTGTAACAAACTTCTGCATAACTGTTTCTTGAGGTATTTTTTTATTTTGAGAAAACACATAAAATAATATGCTCATGCTCAAAAAACTATAGGTTATTTACGTAACCCCAGTTCTCAGAGTAACATGAAGTGAGATGTCTCACTATGGGATGTGCCTCAACGCGTATGCAAACAGAAGCATCAATCTCATTACGCCAATCCTGATTGGCTGGTGATCTTGACGTCTACGTCAGGGAATCCACCCACCCTTTAAGTAGCTTGCGCTACGTCGCAGCGTCATTCAAAATAAGCACCTCTTCTCGCTTCGCCTTAAGAAGGGCCGTCTGGTGAGACATCTCACTTCATGTTACTCTGAGAACTGGGGTTACGTAAGTAACCTATAGTTCTCATTCATAACACTCCGTTCGATGTCTCACTATGGGATATTGAAACTCCCGTATTGCTAGACATGCTTATCTCGAAAATCACCAAAACAACCAGAACTTAACAGGTAGAACCCTGTCTCAACACGGGGCCCAGCACTGCGCGGGCCACACTTGGAGCAGAGACATCTAGCCTGTAAAAGCGGACAAAAGTGAGCGGTGAGGACCAGCTCGCTGCTGCACAAATGTCTTGGATGGAAACACCCTTGAACAAAGCCCAGGATGTAGCCAGTCCACGAGTAGAATGAGCACGCAGGCCCGTTGGTGCCTGCAAACCCTGACTCGTATAAGCCAGAGCAATCGCTTCCACAATCCAGTGGGAGAGCCGTTGCCTGGTAACGGGCTTGCCCTTATGAGGGTTAGCCCAGGATACAAAGAGTTGGTCATTGCATCGAAACTCTTTTGACCTGTCCATATAGGTGGGGAAAGCACGGACTGGGCACAGCAAATTCGGCCGCTGTTCCTCAGAGGAACACAGTGGCGGAGGAAATGCCTCAATGTCAATGGGGGTACATGAGCCAACCACCTTAGGTATAAAGGTAGGGTTGGGCTTCAGCAACACTCTCGTTTGCCCCGGGGCAAACTGAGTGCATGAAGGATGTACAGAGAGCGCATGAATGTCACTGACTCGCTTGGCAGATGCCAGAGCCAGTAACAACACTGTCTTCAGTGACAGGTGTTTCATGTCAGCTTCTTCCAGGGGTTCAAATGGAGGTCTAGTGAGCCCATCTAAAACCACTGCCAAGTCCCATAAGGGCACCAGTGACCTGGAAACAGGGAGGAGCCTGCGAGCCCCTTTCATAAAACGGCAGACCAAGGGATGTTGGCTAGCCGTCTTTCCCTCAAAGCCCACATGGCATGCAGCAATAGCAGCCAGGTACACTTTGATCGTAGAGAAAGCTCTGTGTTTATCAATCAGGTCCTGTAGAAATGATAGAATCACCCCGACAGGACATTGAAAAGAGATGTGTCCTTTTTGAAGGCACCACTCCTCAAACACCCTCCACTTACAGTCATAGAGGGACCTGGTGGAGGAAGCTCTTGCACTCTGAATAGTGTTTAACACCTTCTGAGGGAGTCCCACTGTATTCAGGTTATACCACTCACGGGCCAGGCCCATAGTGCCAAGCGCTCTGGGTGTGGGTGAACAATCGTCCTGAGACAGTATGTCCCTGCGTAGCGGGAGCTGCCACGGCTGCCCGCACAGCAGCTGATATATCTCCGCCAGCCAGTACATTGCAGGCCAGTGTGGAGCTATTAGGATCAGTGTGTGGCGTTATTCTCTCACTCTGGCCAGAGTTGGGGGTATCAGAGCCAGGGGTGGGAACGCGTACAGAAGGACCGGAGGCCAAACATGCGCGAGCGCGTCTACGCCTAACGGTGCGTTTAAATCGCGCATTGAAAAGAACAGCTGACATTGAGCGTTTTCTTTTGATGTGAACAGATCCACCGCGGCCCGGCCGTAACGCACCCACAGCTGACTCACAATTATTGGATGTAGAGTCCAGTCTGCATACGATCTGCCCCGAGGTTCATCACTCCTGGTACATGCGTCGCTCTTAGAGAGAGGAGACGTCCGCAGCTCCATAAGATCAGTTTGCGTGCCAGCATGTGTAACTGGAGAGAACGCAAACCCCCTTGGCGGTTTATATACGATATTGTGGTCGTGTTGTCTGTCCTCACGAGGACGTGATGTCCCCTGAGGAAAGGCAGAAAGCGTTTCAGGGTGACGAACACCGCTAAAAGCTCCAGATAATTTATGTGTGACCGTTGGAGGTCTCTGCTCCAGAGACCCCTCACAGGTCGACCTTATATACCCCCCCAGCCCGTCAGACATGCGTCTGTGGGGACCACCTTCCGCGATAGGACAGCACCCATAGGCACGCCCCATACTAGAAAAGTGGGGTGCAGCCAGTGGCGCAGTGCCATTATGCATTTCATAGTGACCATCACTCTCCGCGCGCCATGACGCACGGGGTCCAGTCTGAGGGCAGCTACCCAGCGCTGAAACTCCCTCATGTGTAAGCGTCCCAGTCTTACCACCAGGATGGCTGACGCCATGAGCCCCAGTAACCGCAGACATGATCTGAAGAGAACATATTTGCTTGGCTGGAAATGAGCGAGGCAAGCCCTGAAGGCTTTCACTCTCTCTGCTGACAGGCGGGCTGTAAAGGGCACCGAATTCAGGCGTAGGCCCAGGAAGAGTACAGTCTGGGCTGGGGACAACATGCTCTTTTCTGTGTTTATTACGAAACCCAGGTCGAGCAGGTGTTTTACGAGGACATTCGTCTGCGTAATAGCCTCTTGCTCCGACTGTGCGAGAAGGAGCCAATCGTCCAGATAAGTCGCCATGCGAATACCCTGTTGTCTTAACGGGGCTATCGCGGCTTCCGAACACCGTAAAAACACTCGTGGCCTGAGAGACAGACCGAAGGGAAGTACTCTGTACTCGTAACAGACACCCTGAAAGGCGAACCTCAGATATTTCCTGTGTGGATAATATACTGGGATGTGGAAATACGCGTCTTTCAGGTCGACTGATGTGAACCAATCGTTTTGGCGCACGAGACGCAACAGAGATGTGTGAGTGAGCATTCTGAATTTGTATCTTTTGAGATATTTGTTCAGAGCCCTCAAATCTAGTATAGGCCGAATCCCGTTCCCTCCCCGTTTGGGAACGAGGAAATACTTGGAATAAAAGCCGAGGGTATTATAGATATAGCCTTCTTGTCTAGTAGCGAGAGGATCTCTTGCTCTAGAATATGGGCCGACTCTCCCCGGGCTTGCGAATGCAGAATGCCCGAAAATTGAGGGGGGGTGACAGCGAATGGGAGCCTGTAGCCCTGTGTTATTGTCTTGAAAACCCAAGCAGAATCTGTGAGCAATGAGCATCCTCCACTTTTCGCTTCTCAAAGCGAGTGGAGATGTCACATCCCTGTCGTCTGCCCTCTGTGTCTTTATTTGTTGTGTTATGGGGCCCTCTAGTGTCTGAACACGGTGGTACCCCAGGTTGACAACCCCGGTCGACACTGCGCATGCGCGTGGCGGTGATGCCTTCACAGCCCCGTCCATCGTCCGCCTTCTGAGAGAGGTAGCAGCCACTCTTAGAAGGGGGGTAGACGTCAGACTGTTTATTGTTTTTATTGTCTTTCTTTTCATTTTATTGATTGCGCCCTTGGCTTTAAGCCTGGAAACGACAGTGGGAAATGATTTATTAAAAGACAATAGTGATGACATGTGTTTGTGTGACCTAAACGAGCAGCGGAGCTTGCTGTCGTTGATGTTAAGTCCATTTCCCTCATGGCGGCAAACTTGAGGATGACGTTCTGACATCACTCGAGGCGGCGGGAAGATGGGGGCATAGTTGCACCCCGGAAACACATGAGCATCTAACACTGGAACGTGTTCTGGAGCTGGAGAACAGGGAACTTCCAGCTCCTTTATCGAGGAAAGGAGAGGAGGCAGTCAGGCCGCCCTCTTCTTCTTCCTCGTCTGGTGGCTGAAAGTCTGGGCCGGCTGTGCCTGAGTGGCTGCTGCCGGAACTGGAGACTTTCTTGGCCAGCTCGTCCTCGCCTCGTGTCTTCTTCGAAGCTAGAGCGGAGCCAAATATGCCCTCGGGAACAATAGGCATGTCCAAGACGTCCTCTTTTTCCCGGTCTGGAAGGTTCGTCAGGGTAAGCCACCTGGCTCTCTCCTGTACCACCATTATCCCCAGTGCTTTGCCCGTGGCTTGGACTGCACAGCGCTGCACACGGAGGCAAATGTCCGTGATCGCTGCGATTTCGTCCCACGCGGCAGGCTCAGGTTTGATCGTCATGTCCTCGCAGAGCTCCGCCTGGTAGGCGGTCAGCAGCGAGGAGACGTTGAGCGCCCTGGCGGACAAAGCTGCGGCTTTATAGGCTCGTTCGGTCATTGCTGACTGGAAGCGGTCTGCCTTTGCCGGTAACGTGGGGATCCTGCTCGGTGTCGAAGCCAGCCGCGGTTGGAGGTGGGCTGCCACCAGCGGCTCCATGGGCGGCATGCGGAGCAGGCCGAGCTTCTCCATGCCGTCACAGTCCAAAGAGGAGGCACCCTGGATTGGGGCCTTGTTGCTGAAAGGGTGGTCTCTCCACGAGACCGACACGTCGTCCAGCATCTCTGGAAAGACTGGGAGAAGCTGCTTCCTCATCCTCGCTGCTTGGGGCAAGTTCTTCCCCTCATAGCGAGATCTGGAGGTCTCCTTGGCCACTTCAGGCCAGGGGATGTCCAGCCTGGACGCAGCGCGTTGGCACACGGTCTGCAAGTCCATACTGAGGCAGGGCGAAGCTGGTGTGCTTTCGCCCGGGGGAGCGGACATCGCCTCCGGCTTGGCAGCCTGGGCAGATGAAACGAAGATGTCATCTTCGTGCTCATCCGAGTCGGATAAGAGGAACTCAGAGGCATCCTCTTCATCCTCCTCCATATAATCCAGCTGTAGGACATCCTCCGCGGGTGGAACCACGGTGAGGTCCAGTTGGGAGCCCCAGCTTGACACAGCACGGGGCTCCGCTCTCGCGGCTCTTGCCGCCACCGGGCCCCAGCCTGACACGGCGCGGGGCTCCGATTCCGCGGCTACCGCCGTTGTTGAGCCCCAGCCTGACACAGCGCGGGGCTCAATCTCTGCGGCGGTCGTCACCATGTCCCGATTGCCGGCCGGCGAATCAATGGATATGAAGGGGTCCCGTCCCGACAGGCTAGCTTGGCACGCTAGCCGTCGGCGGAGGCTCTTGATGGTGAAGCGGGCACAATGCCCGCACAACCGGGGGCATTCCGATAGCTTCCTGGGCGTGTTCCAGCCCAAGACAGGACGAGCAGACCTGGTGTGAGTTCGTGCCCGAGATCCTAAACCCGCAGCCGCAGAGCCGAGCATCCGACTGCTCTGGTGTGAGGGAGAGAAGGGTCCATCCTCGTTTGCCGGGGTGTCGGCGCGGAGGGACAAGCTAGTAACAGGTATGTTACCGAAAAAAAATCCAACCTTATCGTTATTAGTGATGGGTCGTTCGCGAACGATTTGTTCTTTTTGAACGAATCTTTGAAGTGAACGAGATTAACTGATTCCTTCCACAAAACGATTCGTTTGTTTGAGTCGCCGCCTTCCGTCAAAAGCTAAAGAGAAGCTGTTCGCGAACGACGAACTTAAAGAACTGGTGGAAACAGTTCAGAACTGTTTCCTACAGTGTACTGTAATCAGAGCCCTATCACCTGAGCTCCGTTACACACACGCACGCACACACACACACACACACACACAGGAACGGGACATCCTCCTCAACCTGTCCGCCATAAAGAGGACGGATACCTGAACCGTAGCGTCCAGCTAGCTTAGCGATAAATACACACATCGTTGTATTCTCCTCCCCCTGTCGGCCCTAAAAGCTGAGCTCCATAGCGCCCCGCTAATGTGAAACACACACACACAGCGTTAGCGGGACATTCTCCTCCCCCTGTCGGCACTAAAAGCTTCAGAGGGTGGACAGCTGGGCTCCGTAGCGTCCAGCTAGCTTAGCCGCTAGCTTAGCGATAAATACACACAGCGTTGTATTCTCCTCCCCCTGTCGGCCCTAAAAGCTTCAGATGGTGGATACCTGAGCTCCATAGCGTCCCGCTAATGTGAAATACACACACACAGCGTTAGCGGGACATTCTCCTCTCCCTGTCGGCCCTAAAAGCTTCAGAGGGCGGATAGCTGGGCTCCGTAGCGTCCCACTAGCTTAGCCGCTAGCTAAAGGTAAACATAGATGGGTACATAGAATATGAATAAATCGTCACCGATGTAGAGGATATATTTTTTTATTCACTTTGAACTCGGCCAAATGGAGTTTAATACTTTGGGATTTAAGTTAGGCCACATAGTACGTGCATGGGTTTGAAAGTATAACGTGCTAGCCTGCTGTAATACATCGTATAGTCAGGCACACATTTCTGAGAGATTTAACAATGGCCAATTATATTTCTTAAATAATATGTAGCCTATTCCCAGAGCATAATTCATGGGGCAACAAGGTGAGGTGTAAAATGTGTTTTAATATCATAAATGTTACGCCAGCAAACTTCTTGTACGGACTTCGGCAGTAGTGAAGACTCACTGAACGAATTAAGTACAACGACAAATCGTTCGCGAACGTGAAAATCACCAGAAGTCGTTCGCGAACCGGTGAACGAATCAGTGAACGAATCTTTGAAGTGAACTGAATCAAAAGATTCGTGTCCCCGAAGGGAATCGTAATTCCCATCACTAATCGTTATTCCGAAAGGAAAAAACGACGGGGTTGATTTTTCTTTTAAAAATATTAACTGGTGTGTTAATATCTTTCTTATCTCTGTCTCCTCTGGTGTGAGGGAGAGAAGAGTCCGTCCCCGCTCGCCGTGGTGTAGGCGCGGAGGGATAAACTAGCAACAGGTTTGTTACTGTTTGAAGAAAAAAATCAAACCTTACCGTTATTTTGAAAGAAAAAACGTCGGGGCAGATTACAATATTAACTGGTGTGTTAATATTTGTTCAATTCTTCTGCAAAGCAAAAAAGTAACCGGCAAGCGCCCGTCGACCGAATGTTAGCTTGGGTTCAGTCTGTGGACCGTTAAGCTAGCCCGGCTACTGATATTCGAGATGTGCTCTGAAGCGAGAAGAGGTGTTTGAATGACGCTGCGACGTAGCGCAAGCTACTTAAAGGGTGGGTGGATTCCCTGACGTAGACGTCAAGATCACCAGCCAATCAGGATTGGCGTAATGAGATTGATGCTTCTGTTTGAATACGCGTTGAGGCCTATGATTGAGGCGCATCCCATAGTGAGACATCGAACGGAGTGTTATGAATGAGAACTTATAATAAAAGAGTCCAAATATCCAGACTTTGTCACATGTTTGGTGTCATCAATTCTGGTAGGGCACTTTAATGTATTACTCTTATAAGATTCTTATAGATTTAAATAATCTATGTTCCTAAAAGTATTCCAAAGCCTCCCAATATAATGAATCCTAAACCCGGTATAATGATACATATCCTTTACTTCTATATATTTCTGTATTTTAGTGTTTAATTTTGTAAAGTATGCACCCCAAGTGGACTCTCTGGAAGTTAGCAGAAAGTCTGGACATTGCCAAATTAGCCAAACTCTTCCCCTTTTTAGATTATGTGCATTTTGAAAACAAACACTTCTGAAAATTATCTTAGTGAGGGATATCTTACCTACAAAAGGGACATGTGTACAGGCATCAGGGTCTGTGTGCAGACTTGGTAAAGCCTGACAGTTGGGCAGCAGTGAAGTGGGAGAGTGTGACCCGGGGACAGAGCTGAAGAAGTCCGGCTGGACTGAACTGCTGCCCTCCAGCACATACCACTCCTTATGGCAGTACAGCTCCTTCACCGCCAGGCAGTGTTCCCTGTTTCGTAAAGGAAGACAATACATGTGGATGCTCCTTCAGCTGTCTTTGCTTTCCTATAGAGTTGTGTAGTAATATATCCAAAAACCTGGTAACAACTTTACATTTTACAACTTCTGGTTCCCTGCTCAAAGCCTGAAGGTCTAAGGTTAACACAATCTTAATTTGTTCTATGACATAAAATAAGTGAGTAAATATCACTCTTGTGAATGTCTAAAGCTTATATATATTTAAAAACCGGTGGATGGTGGTAACGAAAAGCCCGCCATCACACACGAAGATTAGCCACATTTTGCTTAGCGATAGTGACACTGAGCCATGCGACCGTAATGTCGCTCATTCATAGCATTACGTTAGCTTTTTATTTCTGGCCATTGCAATAACGCTTCAAATATCACAAAGTTGTGTTAATATGTAGGGAGCGTACGTATTGTAAAGGTAACTACCACACTAACCACAGATCTTATTTTCTGAAATATTCCAAAATCCATTGGAAAAATCACATTCCTTTTTGTCTAGGAAATCCTAGCGATACTAGGTCTGCTGGGTCAGCCTACAAAAAATGCAGTCTATACTGTACTAACAAATCCAAACAAAAAGAGGTGTGTGCTACCTGCAGACAGGTTTAGGCGCCGGTCCTAACCCTGATGGGTTGCAGTCGGGGAAGGAGGAGTGGCAGAGCAGTGAGCGCACGGCGGGACTACACAGCACACTGAGTCCTTCCAACTCCGTCCACCAGCTCTGAACCAGGTACTCCTGCATGTCCTCGGGGTCGGAGAGGGAGGAGTTGAAGAAAACCAGCAGATCATCTTGCAGTATGTTGCGGCACACATCTCCACGATACGCACTGCAGTAGCCCGCGACGCCCTTGTAGAGTCTATGAAGAAGACTCACAATTATCATGATTGGTTAGTACTACTTGGTCTACAAACAATGCTTCCAAAAACAACATAATAAAGGATAAAGGATTCTGCATTCAAATGTTTGTCAGACAAAATACATTCTAAAGATGAACAGATATATGAATTTATAGCTAATTTTTTTTCTTGTTTGGAGGATATGTAGGTATGACAATCATCCATTATCTAAATCCCCTAAAGATTCTGACTATTGGACCTCAGAGCAATCAATATTTTACTATTTCGGCTGACCAGAGTTCATGTGTATTTGCCAAACAAAAAGAAAAGGTCTACATCTTTGAAATCTGCCCTAAAATATTCCAGATGTTAACAGAAAAAAGTTTGTAGAAGGTTGGTGGGAAATTACATCATGTCTGTCTGTTGGACTTCCTCGGTGCCTTTTAGATTGAACAGATCAGTCATGGATACATAAACCTGCCTTTCTCACATATTGTGTTCCTATTCTTTGTTTGCAATTCCATCTGCCTGCTTTTTTTTCCAACTCATATATCTGTTTGTCCTCCAGCATGCACAATCCACATGTATTTCTGTCTGCTTCGCATCCACATTCTCTCTGTTTATCTGATAGCCCTCACTCCAGTTGTCTCTCTGCCTGCCTGTGTACTGCAACACTTAAAAACTCCAGATGTCACCTTTTGGGTTTTTAAACCATCAAACTTAAATCGGACCTGTAAATCTATCAACCGCACCAACCTACCACGCCTGTTCATACGTTCTTGGATGTACATCTAAAGATTCAAAGTCTTTAGTGTCATATGCACAATATCTACAGTGTAGTTTTTAGTAATGAAAACCTCAAGTCTCAGGCTCTTCCAGTGCTGCTTACAATAGACATTATAAGAAAAAGAAAAGGGCAAAATGTAGCCATTATGCCAGATCCTTTTGTCTGTCTATGACCTATAATCTACTGTCTCTGTCTTCAATCTTACCTCAGAAAATCTCAACGGGACACAAGGCCAACATTTCCATTTATTCTCTCTCTCCTACCTCTCTATCTTTATCTCCCTCTGTTTCTTTCTGCAGTTACAGTACATAGTCCAGATGTGGGATTTGGGGGTTCTGCAAAGTTCAAATTCAGCTCACATATGGGTGACTGACTGACCACAATGCAGTTTATTGCCAGAGCTAAAACGTGTTTTGTTTGTCTTCAGCTGACCCAGAAGAAGAAACAGCACTTAGATTCTTTAAATAAAGATTGTTACAGTGCCTGTATAGGATTCACTGACAGGTAATGTGCTGTGTCATTTTCATGAAACACATTGACTCTCACATGGACTAGCACTTTGACTACAGTAAATAAAGAAAGAGTACATTGAGAGTTTTAAAAAGTCACATTTCTCTTACCTCCACTCTATGGGGAAGTGGCAATATCCATAAGATGTTGGTTGGAGACACGCAAGTAGGAGGAAATGGGTGAAGAGAGTAGGAAAAAAGGCAACAATTAGTTTCTGTAGGAAGAGAAAACTATCCATTGTGCTTCTCTTATGAAGACAGCTATCTGTGACGATGGAGAGGGACAACCAGGTGGAGGGCAGTGTGTGTGGTCAGGGAACAAGGCATGTGTGGGTGTTTGTTTAAGAGGACTGGGGTCATGGGGGGGCGAGTGTGTCTGAGGTAGCAACCAAATGGGGGGCACAACCAACAGCTGAAGCTAAACACAACTAATATAAATGGCAGCTAAGATAACTCAAGACAAAGCAGAAACAACCCCCAGACACACAGACGTAAGAGCTACACGTTTCTTTGACTGTCATTTTGGAATGGAGATGAAAAAGAGTGAGTACCTGCGACAGTGACTTTAGCAGATGCCTTGACAGTGTTAGCTCCAGAGTTGTGTCGGTTAGCGGCCAGACATGTAAACAAAGCTGGCTTATTCACCGTCACTTTAAGAACAGACAGGATCACCTCTCCTATCAAAGTCTCTTCGACCGATGCACCTGAGATCTACATAAAGAAAACAATTATATCACAGACGAACCAGGTCCTCATGCAAGGGCACATATACATCACAATTGTTTTATAATATAACGTACAAAATGATCCCCCCTTATATATAGAAATGTTTATTGATTGGGATAAACCCCTTGAGATGCACCATCTCGTTTTCAAGGGGGTCCCGACAATAGCAACAACTTACAGACATACATAAACAAAAAGACAAAATGCAAAACATGAGACAAGACAAACCACATACAGTCTGTTAAGTGAAATTCAAGCAATGCACACAATCATTACAATTTGAGACAGTCAAGCAAATCAGTTTCATCAATATCAGTTAATAACAAGTACAGACCAGTTGAAAGTGAGATAACAATGCATATTTAAATATACCCAATGATGCAAGAGATCTAATAGCAGCAGGTAAAGTATTCCAGTCAGTTGGGGCTTTGAACATGAACGCTCTTCTGCAAATCAATTTTTTTGCAGAGGGGACAGAGAAATAAATCTGAACAGAATATCTAACTTGATTAATTGGTGAGTAGGGTACACAATACTGCTTTAAATAAGGGGGATAGTTAAGATAAATGCATTTAAATATCATCTGAAGCCAATGCATGTGTCTTCTTACATTTAAAGAAGGCCATTTAAGTTGGTTATACATTGTGCAGTGATGTGCATTAAAGATACATTTTCAGTCCACTAGGGGGAAGCAGAACAGCCTGAAATCACAACATTGACATTCTACAGTATATATATATAGCTCTGGAATACAATTAAGAGACCACTGCAGTGCAGCATTATCAGTTTCTCTGGTTTTACTATTTATAAATATACTTTTGAGTAAAATGAAAAAATATATGTTATTCTATAAACTACTGTCAAAATGCCTCTGGGTTGGAATACAAAATACACTGGAATGGAATGGCTGTCATACTTGTAATGATATAGTAATTAGATTGAGATTTAAGAACAATTGGGAGTGGTCTCTTTTTATCCTTTTGAATTTTTTGGGCAACCAGTATATTTGAGTGAAAGCTATAGGGGGAAGACACACATGGTCCAGGGCCAGATTCAAACCCTGGTCTTCCGCTTGGGAACCAACTGAGCTAAAGTGGCCCTTTCGACATTCTATATTATCAGTATAAAGCTTTCATGCCAAACATGTTATGAAACCGTTTCCTATTGCTACAACATTATGATTTATTTGGCGTTGTGTTATCCGGCCACCTCATATATTTAGGTATAATATTCACTGCCTTTTTTTTTGCTGTTCGATTTGATTCCCACCAACGCTTCGGTAATGCATAATTGAGTTGAGTACAGATGATGAAAATAGAAATAAATTAAAATTGTTGATCTAATGTCTAGAATGTTCATACACTAAGTATATCACAGGATCATGGGTGTTGAGCTGATAAATGAAGTGCCCACAGAACACTATGTGTCAGGCATTAATATAACCACTCGTGAACATTTAAATTATTTAAAAATTCCCTGGTATTCACACTGTACGAATGTAATGACATACAATGTCTTTGTTTGTTTTAGTCTCTGTATCAACTCACAACGCCTGCATATATCTATTTATGATATGTCAGTCTGTAGTGTTTGTGTGTGTGGGTGCTGATATGTGACGTATCTATATTTAAAGTTATGTATGACTGCTTGTTTTTTGGACGAGCTTGATCCAGCCCCGCTGAAATTAATTACCTTAATCTGCCAGGAAAGCAGCTCACACAGTCAATTTAACACATACAAACACACACACACACACACACTCACACATACATACTTTATTTACAAGTATTATGGGCCTGTAATCACATTGTAGTTAGCACCCAAGACTATTAAATACCCAGACGTTATGTATGTCTGCCCGCAATGGAACACATTATAAATGTGTGCTTGCTTATTTGCCTGACTGAAAAAAAAGTCCTGTTTAACATTCTTAAGAAGGTCAAGAATATCATTTCAACCACGACAACTCAAATTTTAATAGAGCTGTAGCCTACATGTATTTCTTTTTTGGTCTGATTTTTCTTCATTAGGGTCTACAGGAAGTCGCAAACTCACTGTCCTGGTATTTAAAAAAAACAAGAATAAAAAAAACGCACTTGGCAGGAGTTGTGTATAATGTGTTCTCCTGATGTCCCAAAAATTATTGCATGTTGTTTCAACTGCAAGGGGCGTTAAAACTAAACAATCGCAATGACTCACATGTTCGAACATAATCACTATGAGGAATAAACTTAGCACGCTTCTTGGCAATTGGACATTTGGCACTGTTGGTAACAAATCTGTTTCAGTTCTGTTGCTTGTTTAAACGTTGTTTTAAATGTTATCAGCAGGTACATGTATACTGTCTCTCCTACTGTTATATGTATTTGTATGACTTCAATAACAAATCAGCGCTCTGTTACAGATGTTAATTACACATGGGCCACCTTACATGGATGGGCTGTACATCCATCTAGTCAGATTTTCAAGACCCTCAAGACCTCACTGGCTCCCTTTGAAAAGGCAATCCAATTAAAGCTGATAACAATGTGTATTATTAGCTAAATGGAAAACAATCCTTTAAAGCAGGGGTGGGGAACCTCCGGCCTCCGGGCCGTATACGGCCCGCAAGACAATTTGGTACGGCCCTCGAGGTAATTTATAAACACACGCAAAAAAGAAAAAATGTAAGAAATCTAGACCGCAAAAAAATTAAACAAGCGAGTGCCTGTTTTTCCTGGCCAAGGTCAGGGTCCTTGAACACAACACGAGCCTAACGTGTCATCACGTGGTATATGTCTCGACTGCCAGGGGTGCAGTGCTGACGGAGAGCACCAGAACGCCACTCCAGTAGTGATGGGAATTCCGGCTCTTCTTGGTGAGCCGGATCATTTGGCTCGGCTCACCAAGAAGAGCCGGCTCTTTCGGCTCCCAAACGGCTCTTCAGTTTACCACATATTATACCTTTTAATTCAATCAAATGTAGCCCTATTTTGACTAATGATTTATATGTGTACACATATATCACTTAAATTATTCAATACATCCTTTGTACTGAAGTATTCTAAAGTAAAAATTACATGTTTAATATAAATGATTTGCTGTGGCCAATTGTTTTCATTGCATTTACAGACCCGTGTAACTCTCTGATACCACCCAATGAATGCATTGACTTGCTTGGAGAACCACGCTACACAAAACAGATAGCAACACCTATAAAAACTATTTTTAAAAAGGGGCTACTGTATCGACCTATATAAATATAGTTGTTTTTTTCAAAATACCAAACAGATCCTGCATTTTAGCCATGCCTCATTTTGCTCTATTTCCTCTTTCCAGCGCTGTTTTTGCAGGTGGCTGATTCTGTGAGCTGCAGCTGACCACGCCCCCTGCAGGAGAGGGTGCTCTGAGATCAGCTGCTGGGCTGCAGCGGGGAGAAGAGGGGGAGAAAAAGAGATCTCCGTCCTCCGTGTTTTATTCTTATAGAAGTAAGAAGAGAAGTAATGGGGCAGAAACCCTCCTTTTTACGCAGCGGTCCAGACATAGACATCAAACGGCGACACATATTCAGTGTGCAGTTACTTTGGCATTAGGGCAGGGATATCTAGATACTTTCCAAGGTTTGACATAATGAATTGTGCTACTTTTAAAGCAAGCAACGATGTTTTCAAATCTGTAATCAAAAAGCTCCTCAAAAACACTATCGAAGCAGTTCCTGCCGTTGCTACGTTAGTTCAAACAGTAACAACGGACTATTTTTCTTAGCGGATGCATGTCAATTGAAATCAATACATACAACTATTTTTTAAATCAATAAAATCATTTTCTGAATCCATAAAAGCATTTCAATTAATATTGGGAGTCATGTCGTTACTTTGTTGAGAATGTGGCCATGTAATAAGCGGGATAATGTGCACATTGCACAATGTGCCTTCATGCCGATCTCGATCCCTCCGCAAAAAAAAAAAAAAGAAAAACCTCTCGTTCACGGGCGAGAGCCGGTGTTGCAGTATAACGTGAGTCATGACAACTGGCGACATTCTATTATTTTCGTCATAGGAATCCGGGGCGTGTACATTGAGGACCCATTGTTGACTTACCATGTCGATCGCCTCGTTTGTCGTTTACGTTCATCTTTTGCTATATCTGCCTTCCTAAGATCACGTTGATGCACATTCAGTACTCGTATGTGAGGTTGTGGGTGAGAGGTGGATATCGTGACGCTTACAGGGAGGTATCGAACATTACAAAGTAGGTGACTGTGTGGATGCCTGTTCAAAATATTACAAACTTGAATAAATCATTTAAATTATATATTTGTGTCCGACTTTCATTTGTACATCGTTATTAATGTGATCTATAGTAGCTTTGATAGCTGCCCATACCTTCAGACAGCCTAAAAGTAAAACACAAGTCGTTTATTCACAGCCCGAACGCTCATCGACATGACTGGATCACTCATGACAGGTTGTGATCAGCTCCGAATAAATTGTGATATAGATGCTGTAGCTATTCTCCAGGGAGCACGTTTTTTTAATGAAATACCTGTATCCCTCTCATCACAACAAGACTCTACACTGTGCAGGAAAAACAATTACATACATGAAAATAACCTTGATGCATGGGAATGAAACACACAAACTATCTTCCGTGACTATACTGATATGTCACAGAACGGTAAACTACAGAAAAGTAAGTCCAGCGGGGCACACGTTGAATACACATAATACAGTAGTTCTATTATGCCTTTAAGCCTATACGTTTAACCCATAAAAACCCGGACCCATTTCTACTTTTGGGGAAATTAAGGGGAACGTCATTTAGACTAAATAGACCTAAATAGACCTAGAACACATTTCTGACAAGTAACCCCCCCTAGTGTCAAATATCTGAAATGTGACATATGTGTCACATTGGGCTTTAATGGTAAAGTAACTCTTATTTATAACTTCATGAATGAGGATGATTTTTTGGTTTCCATTTGTTTGAACATACTTTAAATTGAA